ATTTGATAACGGGGTGGGGAATTTGAACCGGAAGTCTTAAAATGTTGCCCGTTTTCGCGTGCTTCCTGCATGCACAGAAAATACTCCGTATTGGCGGCAAATACAGTTTTCTCAGATTTCGAGGGAAACGGCCTCAATTTTGTGAAAAAACTGGCTCAAAGAAACGGGCATGGAAAATCTATGTGTTTCATTTGAAGGTATGTACTACATAACGTGTAAAACTGTTAAATTTCCACAAGGTATCCAAACTGTTTACGCGAATTTCGCTATCTTGTCGAAAACATTTCCGTATATTTTGTACTTTTTGTATTTACTGTTTCATAATTTTCATATGAAGGTGGGGCATTTGAACGCTTAATTTCTTGTTACAGTGGGGCATTTGAAGACATTTTTTGCACAGAGGGTGGAGAATTTGATCAGTCAAATTTCAAAAAATTCAAATTCCCGGGGTCGGCCCGGGGGGGGGGATGGCGAAGTTTCGAATTGATCGATACATTAATACCATATTCTAAACAAATATCATATAAACTGGGTTTATAAGCATTTTTTCTGGGGGTGAATCCTGGTCACGGCACCATAATTTCAAGTATTTATTGGTATATTGTTACGATTAATACAGGTTCTTTCAATAATATAAAGAGTGGAATAACAACAACATGGCGTCCATGAAAAAGGGCGCGAAAACAGTCAATACTTATGTCAGTCAATGTATAATGTTTGTCTACTTATTTACGACAAAAAGCTATTGTTAAACATGCTTTTCCGTAAACAATATTCGGTGACGAAACCAAATCTAAACGAAGAAAACTAGCAAATAAAACATAGCTCAAAAATACCTTTATAGCGCTCAAACAAATATATGAAAATCAGAAAATGTGTTTAAGGAGCCATATAATAAACGGTTTATTAACCTCGTTTTGCTCGATCTGTACGGGAAAGTATTTGTCTTAGGTTTATCCGCACAGACCTCGCTCCTTCGTCGCTCGGTCTGTACGAAAACCTCAGGCAAATACTTTCCCGTACAGACCTCGCTCTCGGTTAATAACCCTTTAATATTAAACTCTATTACAGATTGTTTATATCTTGCTTAGTTTTCAAAATATTTCGACTGAAAAAAGTGAGCTGTTCGCCATCTTGGAATATTGAGGATATGCATGAGTCAATTCCAACTGCGATCATCCCCCCCCCCCGGGGCGAACCCCCGGGAATTTGACTTTTCAAAAAAAATACGGTCAAATTTCCGACGGTGCGGGCGTAACCCATTGTCAAATTCCCAACGGTGCGGGCAAAAACATACTAGTCAAATGTAGCCTGATAACAGACCTACGTTTCGCCCACCCTAAAATTCGCGGGTCGACGAAGAGCGAAACGTAGGTCTGATGAAAATGTTGTCAAAAGTGCATGTAAGTCGACCGCCAGGCGGTCGACAAAGCTGATTGGCTAATTCACAGGGAAATGGGTTGTGATTGGTTGGTCGCTAACATGAAAAGATTTGAAAATATCAGAATATTCTCAACGGTAAATCAACAAATATTCTAAATATTTTGTGATGCCGAACGGCAACTATCTACCGTATAAAATTAAAACTAGAGGGGAGTAGAACGGTACGTGTCAAATTCTTCAGCGTTGTATCTTTCCATTGTAATAAACAATACAATACAGTAATTATATAGGCAGATTTTATCGCATTTATAGAATGTGTTGAAAATGTTGTATTATTACCTTAGCTGTAACTGTTTATTTACAAAGGTTTAAGTATATAAAGGCAACAGGCTTCATGGGGTTACCAATATTTTAAATATTTATTTGAATATCTGTCTCTTGACTAGTTTACAGTATTACATGTATGTGTCAATCATCGTTGTTAATTATTGCAAAATGCAAAGTGGGCGGAAGGCGCTTTTGACAACATTTTCATCAGACCTACGTTTCGCCCTTTCCGTCGACGAATTTTAGGCGGGTGAAACGTAGGTCTGTTATCAGGCTAAGTCAAATGCCCATATCTGCCTCGTACGTTTCCCATATAATTTTACATGAAGAGAACCAGCTAGACTTTAATGTTTATTTAATTTTATGATCGGCTCAAAACTTTTAGTTTTGCAATTTCAGGGACCATGAGACGGGGGCTGGGGGGCTTTAGCCCCCCCACTTTTTTTGACAGCCAAAATTATTAAAATAGAAATCTAAATGAAACTTTCTAAATTAATTAAACCTTTTCTAGGCATTTTTAACTTTCGCATCTAATTAAAATGAATAAAGGCTAAGCACCCCATTATGTGTACCTTACATGAAGTTCCCTTCAACACAGCCACGTGCTCCGAAACGAAATTATTATTTATATTCATATGGTTTTTGCAAAGTTTCCGCAATGGAGTTGAAACTGCCTTTATTTTTACTTTATTTTTACTATTTTTACTTAAGTTTGTAAAAGGTCTAAATTTTGTTACTTTTTATGACGATGGTCTTGGAGATTTTTTGCTAAAGTTCCTCCAAAAATGCAGGAAATAGCGTTTAAGGTAATAGAAAATTGAACATTTTCCTTGGGGGTTTTATTGATGATTTAGCCCCCCCACTCTCTAATACGCTCCGCGGGCCCTGAATTTATATTGTTTTGAAATGCCGTTTCTTTTTTAATTTATGCTCGCTATTGTAAGTTCAATTTCTTTTTATCTATAAAATATCATAACGACACATAACTTTTGAGACAAATTCTGCAAAAGAACAAGCAATTACAGCCTTTTTGACGTCCCTGGTCGAGTTCCGAACTTTGTATAACGGCATCTTATATAAAAACTATTCACGCCGTGCAGTATGTTTTTATATACACGCGAAAAAAATCACGTTCATCAACGTTCATCTACACCAAGCACTTAGCGCGACCGCTGGCCAATTTTGCGCCAGTGATCAGTCAAATGAAAGGGGTCAAATGCCCGACGGTGCGGGAATGTTTTCGCGTCAAATTCCCGCCTATGCAGGATTAATCTCTGGTCAAATCCCGGGGGTTCGCCCGGGGGGGGGGATGATCGCAGTTGGAATTGACTCATGCATTACGTCAAGAGAGGGGTCACGCTAATTTTTTATCTTGAGAGTACGCGATCAATATGGGTCCAAAACTTCGTTTCTGGTTGCTATCTGAAATTTAGAAATGATTAAAAACATTTCAAACAATTTTGGATTGTTACTCGGTCATTTTAGAGTAGTTTTATCTGGTTAACCCAACTCCTGACGTCATCAAAACCATAGTTAATGACGTCAAGAATTAGTCCAAGATGGCGGACAGCTCATTAACTTCGGCCTAAATATTTCAAGATATGACAAATCAGTAATAAGTACTATTTACAACATTCGCGTCCGTGTTGTATCGGATATACAAACTCTCGCCGAAAAATGGCTTAAAAAACGACTCATCGTATGAGTTCATTGGCGAAGTAATTTTAAAAATAAATGTTGTCTAAGCCGAGAAAATCAAAGTTAAAGTTTATGTAAATCAACATGAATCTGTATCACATATACAGATACGACACGCTTATGATTTTTCTTTGTGTTTTCTTCATGAATTATTAATGAGTTTTTTAAAGTTTAATATAAAATTTTAAGAGTTCTTTTGAATGAGACAAACTAGTTTTTTATTGCCAAAGTCCTTTAACGGTCAAACGAGGAATAGAGGTGATGGTAGTTGGTAGTCACGCATTTTTGCGGAGGACACTTGAAGCTCCAGATTGACAAAGCATTAAAATTAAGACAGGGTTCGTACAAAACTTGAAAGTCCTCGAATGTCCTGGAATTTGAAAACAAAAATTCAAGGGTTTTTTAGGTTTAGATATAGGTAATGAGAACCATATTGGTGTCCTAGTAATAAATTTATGCCACAATAGTCCCTAAATGTGAGTTCAAAAGGTTTAGTGTGAAATATGATAGTGTGATGGCCTCGTGTTGTTGGCAAAATGTATGTTTGTGAAAAAACTGAAAAATAAAGATAAAAAACCTGTATTTGTATAACTGTGAACCTAAGAAAATAAATGTAGGCGTAGACTTGTTGAACATAAAAGTGGAGATGCAAATGTAAAATAGTAACGGTAAAATATCCTGTGGTGTGGAAAAATTTTTGATCAAACCCGAGAAGGTATGATCGCGCTGTACTAAAAAGCTTGTATGGAGGCATGTAAATTAAAAGAGCGAGAGGAGAAAATCATGTGTGTAAAATTCAGTATCCCTGTACGCGGCGTTTCGTCCTTCATGGACTCGTCAGCAGGGATTGGGGTTGGCACATGTGAGAGAGACAGAATTAGAAGCTGATATGGATCGCAAGGAGAAAATAAAAACATAGCACTATATGTGTATAATGTCAACGTCAGATTTTGCTGATTTCTAACGCCTTCTTCAGTATTTAGTCCTTGAATTTGCTGATACACTGCCTTGAATGTCCTTGAAAAGTCCTTGAATTTGACTCTTCCTGACATGTACGAACCCTGATTAAGAACAGCTCACCAAGGTCACGTGACTGTCTCATGCACTCTCATCCTCCTTTCATCCGGGCTTGACTGAAACACATCGATAGATGGATATAAGACTAGTCCTCATAATATATGCAACTGTCATTTTTAGCTGACAGACTCCAGTGTTCAATACTTGGCTGGTGTTTGTCATTATATTGAAAGTCTCAACCTCTCTGAGTGCGGTTTATTAACGTAAGTAATAACGAATTTAACTTGATCTATTTTTGGGCAATTTTATACTGTGATCACTGTGGGCTGAACTCACGTTTCGAGTAGCATTGTCAGGGGCGTAGGAACCGGGGGGGGGGGGCAGTCCCCCCAAGTTTTGCCAAGTGCCCTTTTTCCGGAAGCAAAGTGCCCTTTTCTTGCGTGAAAAATGTCATTAAGATTGCATTTTTTGCCCAAAGGGCACTTTTGAAAACTTGAATGTGTGTTATTTGTGTAAAATATTTTTCATTTCCGGGAAAAATATCATATCCGGAAAATTTTTTAGGTATATCCGGAAATTTTTTTTTCATATTTAGGAAAAAATGTTGTATATCCGGAAAATTTTTTTGGTATGTCCGGAAAAATTGTTTAGATGCCCTTTTTTATTCGAAAAGTGCCCCTCAAGGCCTGGCTCCCCCCAACTTTTAGAAGCTTCCTACGCCCCTGAGCATTGTCTTTAACTAACATGAGAAACAACTGCTTTACATGGTAGTTTTACAAAGTCGCCATGTTATTTGTTTTAGGGATCGATCTTTGAGATTTGTGAGAAAAGGCTTGAAGCTTTTGAAGGATTTAAATGTTCTTTACTGTTCCAATATCACCAAGTAAGTAAGAGTGATGATGATGATGATGATGATAGTAATGATGATGGTGGTAATTATGATGATGTTGATGATTATGGTGATCATGATGATGATTGTGATGATGACAATGATGATGGTAATGATGATGGTGGTGATAGTGATAATGATTGTGATCGTGATCATAATGGTAATGATGATGGTAGTGGTGGTGGTAATGGCGATGATTGTGATCGTGATCATAATGATGATGGTAATGATGATGGTGGTGGTGGTAATGGCGATTATGGTGATTGTGATCGTGATCATAATGATGATGATAATGATGATGGTGATGATGATGATGGTGGTGGTAATGGCGATTATGGTGATTGTGATCGTGATCATAATGATGATGATAATGATGATGGTGATGATGGTGATGATGATGATGGTGGTGGTGGTAATGGCGGTGATGGTGATTGTGACCGTGATCATAATGGTGATGATAATGGTGATGATAATGGTGGTGGTGGTAATGGCGATGATGGTGATTGTGATTGTGATCGTGATCATATTGATGATGGTAATGATGATGGTGGTGGTAATGGTGATATTAACCATTGATCTGTATTTTATTAACAGAGCGTCAGTGAAGAAACTGTTGACAAGATGTCAGCATATACTGCACAGTACTGACCAGCCACCTTTGTTGGTTAGTTCAATAATTGATCCCAAAGTAAATTTTTACAATCCTGGTTCAGTTCTGGCTACTTGAAGAAGGTAACGCCTATAGCTTTCAATATAAAATAAGTAAAATTTTTATTTAAATCAAAACAAAGTCCATATATTTAAAATGTATAAATGTAATAAACCACGGTAATTTTTGAAATATTTTGTGTGCAGTAGGAGACCATATAACGATCTTGAATCTTTATTTAAACCAAAACAACTACAAGCTACTTATATACCATCAGATTTAAATATTTGACCATTGACTACAACAAAACATCAGAGAAGCATGCTGCGGTGCCCAATTTATTCAAAAACTATGCTATATGGATCAATCTAGAACTCTAGAACTTTTTGTCAACACTGACGCAGATTGCCGAAGGGGGGGGGGGGGCTGGATTGTGGTTCGGTTTGTGGTAATTTAATTTAATTTTAATTTAATGAATTTGTCACAATTACAACAAAGGACAATTACATATTTACAGAAACAATGACAGGAGAATTTCCCAATTGACAACCGACCCCAACAAGAACAATACAATAAAAAAGCAAATATCCAGTTTTTAGAAGTCGGACTGTATCTGAATCCAACTACGGCGGTGTGTACGTTTGCAGCCTGTCCGAAAAATATCCATGCAGTTTTGATTTAAAAATAGAAACGGACTGGCATTTTTTTAAATCATGTGGTAGATTGTTCCATAGTTCAATAACTCTTGGAAAAAAAGAGTTTCTGTAATAGTTTTGCTTGGTAATCTCCAACACGTATGACAAAACATAAGATTCTTGAATACAGGAGCGCTATTGATACAAAATGCCGCCAAAATGAATTGTACTAATTTTGAGGTGACATCCGTGTTGACAAAAAACGTCGCTTGCTAAGCTCACTAATAAACCCTATAATAAACCTCGCTAATACCTGTTAATAAATTACAGGAACCACTGAGTATTTTGATAAAATACAAAACAATAGATACTCCGAAGATTGAAAGCATTTTGAAAATTTATTTCGACGTTTCGACTAAACTATAGTCATCATCAGGAAATAATTTCCTGATGATGACTATAGTTTAGTCGAAACGTCGAAATAAATATCCTGTTAATAAGTGACCCGCTTTTATTAAACATAATCATATGTAGACAAATATGTAAAAATTAAGTTGATAACTCATATTAAGTGAGTCATTGCACAGATAAGACGTTTTTTGCTTCCTGACTTGGTCATTTTAGGATTTTGTCTCTGCCGGCACACGAACGATCACTCCACAAGCAATTCTTCCTCCAGCGTTGCCTGTTGTTCTGCTGCCCACATTCCCGCCTCGCCCCAGATCGTCTTTGAGCGCATGGAGCTGGAAGGGAAACAAAAGAATGAGCTGTATGTGTAACTGGAGCAACAACATGAGATCATTCTTACCACAAAGGCTCGTCCCAAAACGTTATATTTCCCAACAAGTGAGATTAAGTAATCACGTTTGACGACTTTCACGGTGCCATCCTTGTCAGCATACACGTTTCCTAGGTCTCCAACATGTCTAAAAATATGAAACACAGCGTTTCAGATTTCACTTCCACTATCTCTCACTGGCTTAGTATGCATCTGATTGGTTAATTGGATATATCAAACACATCTGATTGGTTAATCGTATATATCAAACGCATCTGATTGGTTGATCGTATATATTAAACACATCTGATTGGTTAATCGTATGTATCAAACACATCTGATTGGTTAATCGTATATATTAAACACATCTGATTGGTTAATCGTATATATCAAACACATCTGATTGGTTAATCGTATATATTAAAGACATCTGATTGGTTAATCGTATATATTAAACACATCTGATTGGTTAATCGTGTGTATCAAACACATCTGATTGGTTAATGGTCTCTTAATGGTAGAGGTAGTGGTAGCCCTTTTCAATTGTTTTTGTGCATATAGAGAGCTCACTGGTTGCTTAGAGAGCTCACTGGTTACATGTGAGGTGGGTGAAGGCACATATTTTACATGTCTCATCCAGAGACGGTGGAAATAAAGTCCTAAGTAAAATACTCGCTCAGCAGTAAGCAAATACTTACCTTATGTTATCATACTGTGCGCCATGAGTTTGTCTGTATGGATTGTAGTGTCCTCCAGTACTGGAACAGCCTGTCAAATACAAAGTAATCAGAGGTGGCTTCTACTGGATTAGCACTACTCAACGGATTGGTATAACCCAGATTAAACTTTAGTATTTAGAAATCCAAGTTGCCTTTTATTAAATGTGGGGTCCATATCCGCATTTTTATCACCTTTCATCTTTACTATTAACTAATATATACATTTATGTATCAATAAATGAAATCACGGGAACCACTGAGTATTTTGATAAAATACAACAAAATAGATACTCCGAAAATTGAAAGCATTTTTTCGGAGTATCTATTGTTTAGTATTTTAATAAATGAAATGTTACCTGTCGTAATAATATCACCATATTGATGAATGTGAAAGCCATGCACTGAGTTGCTTGGTAGACCGGTAATGTGGACCCTGATGTATGTGGCACGTCCAATCTGAAGGGAAAAATTGAAAGGAATTCACTGTTGGAGAATCATGAGGATGCATTTGAATCTGTCTGTCGTCTCCAAGTTAGCCAACAGTGGACTCGTTGTTCTCTTCAGCTGAATTATAGCTATCTTAAAGTGAAGTGTCTCCACTGTTCTCTCCCAGTTGACTAAACTGGACTCCGCTGATTAACAAGTCTCACGTTCTTCTTGGGGTATCCAACAGTGGACTTCTTGTCCCCTTCAGTTATTATAGCTGTACTAAAGTGAAGTCTCTCCACTGTTCTCTTCCAGTTGACTAAACTGGACTGCGCTGATTAAGAAGTCTCACGTTCTAGTTGGAGACTCCAACAGTGGATTTTTGTTCCCTTCAGTTGAATTATAGCTATCCTAAGGTGAAGTCTCTCTCCACTGTTAGAGCCCAGTTGACTAAACTGGACTCCGCTGATTAAGAAGTCTCACGTTCTAGTTGGAGTTTCCAACAGTGGACTTTTTGTCCCCTTCAGTTGAATTATAGCTATCTTAAAGTGAAGTGTTTTCTCCAGCTGAACTTGCGGTGGACCTGAGTGATCTACTATCAGTAGTACAGAGGCTACAGAGCTCATCGTTGTGTCTCTTCTTCTGCCTCTTATTTAGACGGCGATCTTAGGCCGCGTTTACACTATAACGCTACGGCTAACATTCCGTTAAAATTTTAGTACTTTTCTAGTACGGAGACTATATTGTGTTTACACTATAACGGGGTGGTTTGCCGTAACGTTTTGATCTACGGACCACTACGTTTGGCACTCTGGATGCAAATCACTACGCTACGGTAAATTTGCCGTAGCGTCATAGTGTAAACGCGGCCTTAAAGAGTGCTAAGTGTGAACGCCCCTTAAGCATCACTGCGCACCAAAGTTGTGCTTACCGTGACCACTTCAACTGTGCCTTTGACCTGAGTCTGTGCTGCATTATTGCCAGGACGTAAAATGCTTTTTGCCCTGGTTACGACAGCATCTACACAAATAAAATGAAATCGCTTTTTCTACTATATGTCGTGTCGACGTCATCATACTAAGATTTTTAATACAATCGGCGCTTTGCATGAACTTCGGTCCAGCCGCGATCCATTGAACAGAATGTTCCTTCCCTTCTCATTGTTTTGAAAATCCCACTGTTCTCCTAGAGTGCTCTCCATGCCACCCAGTCAAACAATAAATATTGTTTTGACATATCTGTGACGTTCTGCAAAACGGGGCAGTAAGCTTGTACAAGGTAGTGTCAATGTTGTGGCCGTCATATACACCAAAGGCGAACTTCAAATCACGCCTTTGGCCTTGGCTACAGAATGACAAGGTTGATGGGTCCAGCACCCGAGGGTGTTTTATGATGTAAGAAACGAGAAAAACCTGATCCTAATTGTTCCAAGCAAAACTTTTCTTAAGTGGAAATGCAGCTTTAACTTCATTAGGACAGGGTATCTAATTTGGTTTCCCCACTGATTTGTTATTCAGGAATTTGGAAACACTCCATATTGTAATTTTCAATCAATACTACCCTATATATAGGTCCTACTTTTATTAATAAGAACGCACTTGATTGAGTGCCCTTACTGGCTGATTGTTACAGTAAACGTAATTAACAGCAGATTGTGGATTTGTGAACCTTTTGTGGTCAACTTCAAGGCCAGATTCTACGAGCGCTTTTTCCTCGGTGAATTTCGCGCGAAATGAATTATTGCATGCGTAATCAAGATGAATTAGGCTTTGTGAAAAAAATTGCGCTTTGCCAGTGAGAACGGTTCAACCTCTCGCGAGAAATTTTGGAATCAAGCCTTCAGAAATGTTGACATTTATAGCCACATGAAAACTAAACTACATCTTCGATATATATCTCACTTATCGTAGTATTTCCCGCAATATACAAGACTGAAGAGAATTATATATTGAACTGAATAAACATCTCACTCTCTCATCGCTACTGGATACCCACAATCGACATCTGTTCTACGAAACACACGCAAACCTTTCACAAAAATTTTGCGCACGTGAAAAACATATAGACTTCCCAAAGAACTTCGCTGTAAACCCCAATCCGAGGCTATCTGACTATTTCTTCATAGTGGTAAACCGATATTCGGGTCAAGATTGCTGTTTTAATTAAATATTTTGCGCAGTGCTTCAAATAGCGTGACTAAACTAAATAGCATGTGTGAAGATGTGTTGTTATCTTACCTTGGCTGGCGTAATAGGAATATGGTGTAGCAGTCGCACTGCTGAATACCATGACCAACGTGGCGAGCAATACTTGTACAAATCTTGCCATGATGAAGTGTGATTCAATACTAATCCTTGAGTCCAAGTAAACAGATATTTAATACCTCAATGAAAGAGGAAGTAAAGCTGTTCAGGCAGACAAGGAAATATTGAATATCCGTTTATGTGGGTTTTCTTGCAGGGTTTTTATGTGGCGTTACATCATTTGTAGCAGTCAAATATATTGACATCTGTAGGAGTGAGCAAATTAATGCTAAATATTTCCATTTTATGTATTCAGTATCAAACACAAGATTAATACATCTAATGAACAGTTTAGTCACTGTTCTACTCAATATAAATATAATATTTCCGTTTTAAATTATCATAATTATATTCCAAGCTATTTGAATTTGGCATAGGGCCATAATTTTATTTAATCACGGTTTAGATTCAATTTACCCGAAAGCAAGTTTTTCATACCGACTATGAAACAAAACAATATGTGAATGTCTCATACACTATTTTGACAAGTTCAACACTGTTATATTACAACGCGTTGCATAACTATCTCTTTTCTTGGTTGCTTAGTTGCGGGGGGAATTGTGATAAAGTCATCTGGAATCCTTGAGCCTAATTATCTCAAGTGCATTTCAAAAGAAGTACTTGGCCTTGAACAACACTGAACGTTTTTCGTGCCGACTGGGTTAGAATAAATAAGGGGTTAGGGTAAAACGCTGATACGGACGGATGGACGGATGAACGGACGGACGGATGACCTATTTTTCTCCCAAATATGTTTTAAACATCATATCCGCGTTTTACCCGATCGGGTAAAACGCGGATATGGTGTAAAATATGCTTTTCGGCTTTTTCAAAAGCATATCCGCGCTTTACCCGATCGGGTAAAACGCGGATATGGTGTAAAATATGCTTTTCGGCTCATTAAAAGGCATATCCGCGTTTTACCCGATCAAGTAAAACGCGGATATGATGTTTAAAACATATTTGAGAGAAAAATAGGTCATCCGTCCGTCCGTCCGCCCGTCCGTCCGTCCGTCCGTATCAGCGTTTTACCCTAACCCCTAGAATAAGACCGTATTTCCGTTATTCTTATGTTAGTTGCGTGAAATTTTTTAATTGCCTGTCAAACGAGAATTAGAGTTGATGAGATTTGATGAGATTTGATGAGAGTTCGCAGTCACGCATTGTTACAGGGGAAATTTGAAGCTCCAGATTAACAAAATAAAGCTTTGATGAGTGTCCCAACTATGTTTTAACGAAAATGCTCTTAAAACTGTATAGTAACTTCTTTTGAAGATTTTTGTTCCCATACTTAGTTCTGGAGATATTTCATTTTGTTTGTAACCATTTACGTCATTTACTCAATTATACATATATAATGAGATATCAGTAATTTGGTGTGGTTATGTCACCAGGAAGTTTCATTGTAGTGGGAGTATGTTGCACTGGTAAAAATCTTTATTTACAGTTTAAAAAACGTAAAATATAAATCAAGCATATGTGACCAAAGCCCTTTCAAACCAATGTCCTGAAAACATTTCAACTATGTTTAAAATCTCAAATTCTGATAAATATAATTTAAGAAGTAATAACAAGATGCTGATGTTGTCGAAGCCTAAAACAAATTCAATGAAACGGACATTCGGATATGCTGCTGCTAAAGACTGGAACTATAATAGTAAAATTTTTAAATCTACTTAATTCATTTGTAATATATATATTTAACGTATCGCTTCGACCCAAACATTTCTTAGTATCTTTTAATATTTTTATAATAGTTTATATAATACCATTTCGAGTTTTAATTTGTATTTAATAACACGGCCTAATGAAAAACAACCTTTATAATTTTTGTTAATACTGATAGGTAATATGGTTGATTAGTTACCGTGTATAAAGATGTTGTAATAATAATAATAATAAAAGCTTTCGGACTAAGACGAAAGCTTGATTTATATTTTACGTTTTTTAAACTGTAAATAAAGATTTTTACCAGTGCAACATACTGTACTACCACTACAATATCAGTAATTGTTGTGTATCTTTTCTATTTTTTATCAAAATCTTTCCAAAAATGCGGGGCGTTCGTTAATTTAACCTACATCATTAAGCATACTGGGTTTTTTTAAACAAATCCGTCAAAAATAGCAAAGATACACAGCATTTACTGATACCACTTTATATGTATTATATATGTAAATGACGTTGCATGGTTTCAAACAAAATGAAATATCTCAAGAACAAACCATGGGAACCATTTTTTTTCAAAAGAAATTACTTTACAGTTTGAGGAGTTCTTTCTTTTGAGACAATAAAAATTTCAATGACAGTGCCACTTTAAATAGAATACATGATAGTGTTGGGAAAGCAGATGCGGTACAGTCCGATCTGCGCATGTGCACAAAGGAGCCCTCTTTTCATTTACAAACAGTTTATTTAGGTTTTTATTTCATTTTATGCTCTTGCAAAGCTTGATTGTTGTCTCCTGATAATTTATTATACTCTAGAATCATAAAAATATAAATAGTTGTGGAATAAAATTCAATATTTTGGATACCGAAATGTAAACAAAGCCTGCCAACTCTCATGCGCTCTCATCCTCGCCCACAGTTAGCTCTTACAAAGCCCACAGTTAGCTCTGACACTCCCTCTTCCCCCCCACCCCCTCCCTCCGCATTATGACACTCTTTGACACTCTAAAAGTGAAAGGGTTTAGCTGAGCAGTGAGGCTTAGGTTAGTTAACTCGCAGCCCAATATTGTGTTTGGTTTTGAGGATTGGCATACTGACCCGTGAAATGTTTAGTGGATGATGATGGTTCAAAGACTGTTATTTGTTGCTATAGTTGCATGACTGTTCTTGAAAGGAAAGTTGGGATAGTCAATTATCTCTCATTGTTAATGAATAATTGTTTCTTTTTCTTATTTGAAATGTTTGGACGATGATACATGATGGTTGAAAGACTGTTATTTGTTGCTATAGCTGCATGAACGTTATTGAAAGAAAAGTTGGGATAAAGCCCACAATTATCTCCCAAAGTTACCTGTAATACACTCTCCGGAAGTACTTAGCCGTGCTTTCAGAGCCTCGATGGCTTTACAGCCCTTGTTTCTAATGGCATAATTATAAACATGTCACGTTTATATTCACTAATGTTACTGTATGAGGTTGTATGATTTCGTAAATGTGTCATCTGTAACAAAATAAAAGCCTCTATATCCAAAAATTCACTAAATGTGGCTCTACAGTCAACACTAAACACTTCCCAGAAGGGGATATTTTTACTGAAAAATGCGAAGCATCAATCGCGACAAAGACGGTTTGAAGATGTTTAAGCTGTCAAAATATTTCTTAACGGCCAATTTACACTACACAACTTTTGTCTCAAACTGTCGCATGCAACCTGCTTACAACTTGAGTTGTACTGTGTAAATCAATCACACAACTCACCTACGACAACTTAGGCGAGTTGTGGTGCTTCAGTGATCTGCACAGTACAATCCTAGTTGTAAGCAGGTTGCATCGGCGACAGTTTTAGGCAAAACTTGTGTAGTGACAGTAGTAGTGTAAACTGGCCTTAACTTGAGATAAGCACACAACGTAATTTAATGCAGAAACGTGTTTCTTTATTATTTCTCTATGGCTTAGTAACTATGAAAGTGACCAAAGCTCAACTACAAAACTATTGCTTGCAAAACTAGCGTACAGTATGCTACCAAAGCTGAATGTTTTTCTGACTATTCTAACCAATACAATAGAATAAGCTTGTTTAAACATGCTTACTCTGTTTTATTGGTTAGGACAGTCTGAAAAAAATACTGATCTCTGGGAGTTTCAAGTTCCGTTATCATAAAAGAGTTCCGTTTTCGTCATCACCATTTCATTTTGTGCACACGGCGCAGGTGAGTTCCTAACCTTGCACATATGGCGGGCAAGGCAAAGAGCCACAAGCACCTTCCACAAAGTACAGCAAAGCTCCATTCTTGTTGACGTGTGATCCAAAAGTTGCTTCGGCTTTTCCATCTACGCATATGTACTGGGTTCGTCCTTTGTGACCATGATGTTCGGACATGATATATCCTTTGTACTCCAAGGTCCAACCTGAGGGGCAGGTGTTGCGGGCTGGGATCATCATGTGACTCCCACGTGACTCAGTGTGGCACACAGCGCACGGTGCATCATGGTCGTGAAGCTTTGAGTTTTCAAACAAATGCTTTTGAGCATGACCTATTTCGTATTCAGTGCCATAGATGTAATTGCTTCCTTGATTACCTGACCCAACTTTCTCAAAAATCGGTTTTAAAGGCAGGCAGAGATAGTTTGAACCACCATCTGAGGTCCAGAATGTGTAAAATGTGACCCTGCCACCACACCTGTGAGAAACGTAATAAAACATAGAACAATAAATAAAATTGCACAGAATACATCTACTTTATTATAGTCCTAGAATTTTCTATATTTCAGTCGAGATTTATTTACCTGAATACAATTGTGTTGTTTTGTTGGGACATGTCTTTCTTCCCCACCTTGTGTACACTGCACCACCTGTGACACCCCCTGACTTCCCTGCTTGTCCACGAGGTCCCCTAGGTCCTATCGGACCTCGTTTGCCAGAGCTACCCGTGGAAACGAACATATAGAGAATATTAAAACATTTGGTCCAACCTCGGACCCAGGGTATTTCCTCTCACACTTTGGTTGCCATGGTCCTCTTGTAAGAACGTATATATGAAAACAAGTGGAGCTATAAATAATTTGGATTGAATACCTAGTCCGCCACTAGTTTGTCCTTGTTTATACAAAAAAGCAGTTATTGTCTTACCCATTAATCCTGCATCACGCCCATCACGCCCTATGAAATAAGAAACACAGTTTAATTAAAGAATTAAAGTATAAATGTTGTGCTTTAAGACAAAGCAAATATAAATTTGTTTTATTAATCTGAAGATGAAACAATTTTCCAGCCGATTTCGAAAGACGAACTCAAATCTTTATTGTTTCCTTAAATTGAATCTCAATTCGTCCAATTACGTTCACACCAAACGTTTTGTTGGCTATTCCAAATTCAGACTTCTCTGTTGGCGTTAACGCACCATACAGCAATGTTAGCAATCTTACCATCTCGTCCTGGTAATCCAGGAAGGCCTTGACAAGTGTCTTGCAACTTTCAATTTTGCTTTAGATTCCTGCGTTAGAAATTATTGATCGCATGAACAAAGGAATGCGAGGGAATTCACCTTTTAATGTAAGTGCCGAGTGTTGGGGGCGGACGGTCGACTTGATACACAAAACCTAGTAGATGTACATCGATGGACTAGAATTACTTCGTTAAAAATAACGATATTTTGGCAGCAGCTTACGTTTTAACGGAAGATAAAATGCATGCCACTTAAAATGTTTCATGCTGACGCGGACAGAAAACGTTTTGTTGAACTGACTACCAAAGAGTTGCGATCATGATATCGATAATGTGATTAAAATTGCGCTTCACTAGGATTTTGGTTGCTATTTTCCGACTAAGCTAGCTGCAATCATGAGACTAACTTTATACTTAGTTACTTCTGCGCGCTGTGAAACAGAACGCCCTGGTTAACCATTTCTAGTTGCCTTACCGCACACTGATATCTTGTTCCTCTTGTGCAGAACACACGAGAACAGCAACGGTCAGGAAAAGAGCACATAAAACAAAACAGTTTGCCATTTTTTCTTCTTTACTCAGTTCAGATGTTTCCTTGTTCCCCAACAAAAGCAAATGATAATTCAGGAAAGAGACTTCACTTACTTGTAATAACATGAAAACCGTATTGCGCATGCTCACAATTAGTGCGCACGAAAAATGTTGCAAATGTTGCTGAAACGGAACTACGGAGGGGGTCTATTATAGGGGGTTGGTCGCTCCGCAAACCGTCTTATTTTTGTCTCTTTCACCGTTAATCGCCCGTATTTTCTTCGTGAAAACCGTAACCGTCATTTTTCTTATACAGTAAGTCGACAAGAGGATTTACTGACTGCATGATATCTATTCTGGAATCTTGTTGGGCGCCTCGCAAGTTCCAGACCCAATTAAATAGAACACAATATCTCTCTGAAGAATTTCAATACTGCACGTAGCTATAACTAATTATTATTGCTTGCTAGTGGGGGCACAGACATTCTGTCGGTAGGAATTGAAAGATTTGCTGCCCTTTCTATGAACAAAGAAAATTAAAACCAAAATACTTCAGCCGTTTATTATAAAAACAAAACTTAAGCCTTTCACAACGTAAGTACAGAAGCTATAGGAAACTTTAGCCTGTATATTATCAGTTCTAAACTCTTCTCCTGGTCGACTGTGTTATCAGCTACAGGAGGAAACTTTAACTAAACCAACTTTATAAACCAAGAGCTCATGCTTGCTGCATAACTTTCCACATAATGTTGGTTAAAAAAATCAACAATATAAAATCAACAAAATATGTGTGCTGTTAGTATTTGTATGTGTGTATATGTATGTGTTTGTAGACTTTATAACCTATACAATTAATTTATATGTTTTGTAAATTTTACGCAATTCAGCTATTTTGGGCTGCGATGTAAAATCTTATTAAATAATCTATCTATCTATCTATCTATCTATCTATCTATCTATCTATCTATCTATCTATCTATCTATCTATCTATCTATCTATCTATCTATCTATCTATACTTCAGCCGTTTATTATAAAAAAAAAAAAAACTTAAGCCTTTCACAACGTAAGTACAGAAGCTATAGGAAACTTTAGCCTGCATGTATATTGTCAGTTCTAAACTCTTCTCCTGGTCGACTGTGTTATCAGCTACAGAAGGAAACTTTAACTAAACCAACTTTATAAACCGAGAGCTCATGCTTGGGATTGCTTGCTGCATAACTTTCTACATAATGTTGGTTAAACAATCAACAATATTCAGCCAATTCGAAAAAGGCTGTCCTTTGAAAACCTTAATTAAGCTCTAAACCTTAAACTTTAAACTCTAAGCGCGCAAAGCTTATAATGGGAGCACAAGTTTCAAGCTTAGCCTTAGTAGTTGAATATTGCCGCTATTTGTAAATGAATTGTTCTCGTGAGGAGATATTTACCATGTCTCTAAGAAATGGGCCCCATACTGCTTTCTAAACAGATTAAACATAACTGTTCCTTTTATGCTTTGCACGCAGAGTTTAAGGTTTTTCAATGGAAAACCTTTTTTGAATTAGCTGTATATGGTTTGAAATATTTCATCATTTTGAACCTTTGACGAGACTATACTATACGTTTGAAACTAGTATTTTACTCCCTTGCACAATGCCATAGATTTATTTAATTTACATATATCGAGAACAAAAAATTATAAGCTAGTTGTCCAGGGAACTTATTTTAATAATAATAATAACACTTCATTTATTGAGGATATAAACAGATAAAGTTACAACTTTTTTCCAATCTGGTCCTCCTAGCTAAACTCTATAGACACAACAATAACATTAAACATGACTATATTCAGTATTTCCTAGGAGTATGAACGAATGAAATCATGGGTATAATGTAAAGTATTAACCAGTACTACAATCAGTTGTTCATACCTCGAGAAAGCCCCAATTTTCTAATTAGGCAATTTTCTAACTATGTTTAAATTATATTTACAGAATGATATGTCGAAATACGTTGACACACAATTCACAAGTGTCTAAAGTGACATTATAAACATGACAAATTGACAATATTTGGCACTTTCTCCATGTACGAACAACCATAAGTTAGATCATGCTCAGCTAAAACTGCAAGCATGAACTTTGGCAGTTCATACATCAAGAAAGCAATCAACTTATAGTCTTAATAAAAGAGAAAACATACAGTTTACAGTTTTACATGCTAGCTCTTTCTGCCTATAGAACGCTGACTTGAATTTCGTTGCCATTGCAGTAGACTCGCCTGTTTTCATGATCATACATGCCCATGGGCAAATATCACAGAAGACAAGACTTTTTATAGAGGCAATTACGCCAACGTTGAGGCAATTACGCCAAGCTAAATAGAGATTTAATGAGTTTCGAAATATTTTTATTTGCTGTAATTTAGAGATAGAATGATAGTCACGTCTTCAAGCATTTTGTGGGGTTTTCTTTCAATAATTAATGTATTGTGCTTTTTTTATATTTCGTTATCTCGATACCATTGTCATAAAGCAAATTAATAAGATCCTTGACCTTGTCGTTGTAGATTTGCATGGTAAAAATAAATATAATTGTTTTGTTTTTTGCTGGACACGTTCATTTCTTGGTCTCGGCTTTGGCGAAACTTTCGATCCAAGATCGTTGCTATAATAATTTAACACATTGGTGAAGATCCATGCAGGCTTACATATCGAAAGCTAGTAATACAAAATAAACGTGATGTTTCCACAAAAATCAAACAAATATATTTCCGGCATGCAATCATACAAGCCTTTCGCGGCGAAATTGAAACTTATACACTGTCACTGAGTATGTATTAAATGAAGTAATCTAGTTTAGCGTCTTCTTACACTGGACTCGACGAAGAACAGGTTACTGCAAAAAACGCCCAGCCTGTAACAATGTTGTTGAAAACAGGCCTGAACAATATTTTGCTGCCCATATTGTTCCTGGTTGTTAATATTGTTCAGCCTTGTTCAGGTGAACAATGTTGAACAATATTGTTAATAACCAGGAACAATATGGGCAGCAAAATATTGTTCAAGCCTGTTTTCATGAACATTGTTACAGGCTGGGCGTTTTTTGCTGTGTAATGCAAATGGTTCCAAAACAAAATGATAT